GTTATCTCCATTCATGCCTGATCTGGCTGCCTAAGGAGCAGTCTGTTCAACTGGCCTGTTCGTGTTGTTTTTCTTTCTGTGCTTTACTCAGGTGCACAATGGAGCTAAAGGAGCCAAATGTGGTTTAATCTTTGCATATAATGATGAGTCGGAAACATTTGATGCCGAGAAACATTTCCAGAGGTTTGAAAAATACAATAAGTGGAAGTTGCAAGAATTCCGGCAGTTTGTGCGGGAAAGGTGAGGCAAGCATCAAATTCACAAACTAATTTAGATCACAGACTGTGTTTCCACAGTTTCTCAAATTGAGTAGGTAATGAAAACAAAAAAGTACCATGTGAATGTTTTCTAGTTGAGTTTTACACATGCCTGTGCTGTGATACTAGATCCTTGTTGCATGAGCTGCGTGAAATTTAGGTAGTTGCTGCAATAAAGTAACTATTTAATTTAAACAACAATAAAAATACTGCAGATGCTGGAAATCTGAAATAAAAAGAGAGAATGCTGGCGAAACTCATCAGGTCTAGCAGCATCTATGGACAGAGAAATAGAGTTAACGTTTCAAGTTTGATATGTCACTTCTTCATACCATCTCAAAACGTTAACTGTTTCTTTTCTGCTCAGATGCTGCCAGACCTGCTGAGTGTCTCCAGCATTTTCTGTTTCAGTTTGGGTTAAAGGTTTTATTGAATATGGGTGAGTCTGTATTTGTTACTTGAGTGACTCTGGCAGATGTAATTGTGCAAACGTTTCTCAAATCTTATTCTCTTCATGATGAATGTATTAATGATGCTACATATGTGCACTGGAGATTGTTTCAAGCATCTAATAATTAGTGTTTACTTTGTCTGAAACCAACAATCTACATTAAAATCCAATTACAGAAACTGTTCTGAGAATTTGTCCAGTTGTCCTGATGACATTTTTGACACCTGTGGTGATATAAATGATAGAACAGCACTTAATCACAAGGTCATTATGGAATAGATTCATTGGAGCCTATCATTTCCATATTGTGCATTCATATGTATCTTCTTATCTCATCTTAAATAGGAAACCCCTTATTTTTCAACTGTGTTCCCTTAGTGCTAGTATCTCCTAAAACATCCCCACAGCATTCACACTATCAAGTCCTCTCAGGATCTTGTATGCTTCAGTAAGATCACCTCTCTCTTCTTAGGTCCAATGAATGCAGGCCCAGCCTGTCTAACCTTTGCTTATGAGTCAACACCCTCATCCCATGAATGACTCGAGTGAACCTTCTCTGAACTGTTTTTAACACCATTATTTCTATTCTTTTCAAAACAAAACTGTACATGGTACTGTTGATGTAGTCTCACCAAAGCTCTGTACTGCTGTCGTAAAATATCCCTACTTGTATTCACAATTCTCTTACAATAACAACGGCATTCAGTTTGCCTTCTTCATCGCTTGCTGTACCATTCAAATGTTGTTTTTCATGTATCTGGGCACTTCTGTTCTGCAATCTCTCTGCAATAATATGCTGCTTTTCTCTTTCTTCCCAATACAGACAAAATCTCATTTTCCCAAACAGTGCTCCCATCTGCCAATTTTATGCCCACTCACTTAGCCGATCTATATCACTTTGCAATCTCCACATGTCTTTTTCACAGCTTATTTTCCTACTTATCTTTGTGGCATGTACAAATTTAGCAGCTGTACATTTAGTTCCTTCCTAAAATCATTTTATAAAGAGCATAAACAATTCATTTATGCCAATATGAAAATGATTCCTTTGTGTCTACACTTCATTTCCTGATAGGTAACCAGTCCTCAATCCGTAATATTTAGACATTGGGTGTTATTAACGTGCCAAAAGCTCTGTTATCTTTTAGTCAGTACAGTTCATTGTAAGAAAATATTAATCTCTTCATTTAGGGGCAAATACTGTTGCAGTCATCTTGGAAGTTGCATGTTATTTAGTTTAATAATGAATGGTTATTTGCATCTATCTACATCAGGCACAGTGGCCGTAGTACTGACCTGGATGGGGATAAACCTGTTGGCTGGTTTGAACTAGAGGATGAATGGAATGAGACAGAAGTAAAATTACAGACCTGCCGAATCAGCAAGGTAATGAAGGACCGACTCACTTTCTTCAGTGTTTGCATAAGAACTGAAATTTTGATTGTGTGGAGTTTGTGTAGTTGAGTTATTGTGTTTAGTTTATTTAGTGTGTGTATGCTCATGGAAGGGAGCACGAGCTTTGACACTAATTAGATGGAGTTATTTAAACCGCTGTCACTTTTATTCAATGAACTCTCCTTGAAACTGTTACTCCTTGGGTCTAGCCATTGTGGGTGGTTTGAGGAACAAATTTCCACATCTGGTTTGAGGTCTTTGAGTAAGGACAATCTGGGATCAAGTAGACCTTCTTAGTGGCATGCATGTTGCAATAATTCTGGAGTGGAGGTAGGGAGGGAGGCATGAATGTTGCTCAGAATTGGGAGCTGGGGAGCTGATTTGTACAAAGATACCTGCTTTGTCCATAGTTGAGTTGCACATTTGGTACTTGTGATGTGAGCAGATAGGTGCCATACATGGGTACAGTATTCTGCAGTTGAATACGTAGTGGCAAGAGTAGAGTAAGAGGCACTTAGGGTCTCATCCTGTGATCCCTGTTAGGAATCGGCCAGAGTTACTGAGGAAGTTATTGTGGATTTTAATTTTTACTGCAGTCTCAAGGTACTATCTGCAATGGTGACAAATCTGAAATAAATGTTAGAGGTTATGTTTCAGTCCTTATCAATCTAGGGTGATGTTCAGTTCTGTCTGAGTGCTGGTATTATAATATTGGAGTGTACAAAAGACTTTTTGACTGCTGTTTAATGAAATGCCACATGTCTTGAAGTAGTTGACCAGCTTTGCAATATGATTGTTTAATTTTTTTTGTTCTAGGGAGGTCAAAGTTGCTGGCACCGCCAGCATTTGTTGTTCATCCTTGAGGGTGATTGTGAGCTGCCTTCTTGAACCGCTGGACTCTCTCATCACTGTTCCTTTATTCTTTCATGGGTTTGGACAATGATGGTGAGGCTAGCATTTACAGGCCATCCCAACTTGGCCTTTACCAGGTAGCGGTGAACTGTTGCCTTGAACCATTGCAACCGTCAGGATTTAGGGGGACACCCAGCTATGGACAGTCAGTGTGCCAACAGACGTTGTCTGCATAGATCCTTTTCTGGGACTGGGTTGAAGGTAGATCATTGGTATGCAAACCAAACACTTGTTGAACACAAGTTGAATTGGGAGGTCAGAGGAATCATTTCAAGTACATTCTCAAATTAAAATTGAAGGAATGCTGTATATCCCCGCTAACATGGGAATCTCTTGCCCGAGACCAGCCAAACAGGACCGTAAAACATTGAGAACGTGCCACTCGTTTCAGACGTCTGTCATGCCCAGGGAGCATGGGCATGTAAGCATGCATACACACCATCGAGCTGCCTCAGGAACAGGAAGTAAACATTGTACTGTACTGTACGCTGGAGTCAGGTATCGGAATCTTGACCCTGTTTGGACGTACCTTTGAGAACCTTTTCAATGTGAGGCGGTAATGCGAGGACTGATCTTGTGCTTCTTCCTCATTGAAAGCCTGCCTAGCCCACTCATTCGATGTTCTCCCCTTCTGCCTTGAGGTGCTGTACTACCTCACAGCATTGTGGTAGCAGGGGTATTGGGCTGAGTTTGTTGGTGAGTTTAGGTCTTTGCTGGATTTGGGAGGCTGATGTTAGAGTTGTTGAGGAACTAGTAATGCGGTTTTTCTAATGTTATCAGTAAATTTCATGCACTCAGTTTTCTTCATGTATTGTGCAGCTTTATGCTTTCAATTTGTATCGTATAAATTTTGGTAGAAAGTCTGCTGTAAACTTGAAAGATTGCAGTTATTGAAGATAGCTGTGCGTCTCCTGTGATTAGTAAACGATTTTAATTATTGGCTCTTGTCGTTCCAGTTGGTGCCAGTAGATGGCATCTGTGTAGTGATTATTTCAGCAAACACAGCCTTCTGCAAATTATAACAAAGTTTTTTGACTTGCTGTTTGAGTGCTTGCTCCCTGCTTTTTGTTTGCAGAAATCTTCCAGATGATTTAGACAGTGGTGTGGGACATACAGCTGCTATACTGTTAGGCAGTTACTTTTCAAATGCGACTTGAATTTGACTGTGCCTGCAATAAACGCACAATTACATATTTTAGTAAATCTGATGAGGTTTCTCATCTGTCTTGCAGACACTGTGTAACCATCAACGACCAAACAAGACAGTACAGTCATAGACTATTAGAGATATACAGCATGGAAACAGACCCTTTGGCCCAACTCGTCCGTGCCAATCAGATATCCTAAATTAATCTAGTCCCATTTGGTAGCATTTGGCCCATATCCCTCGAAACCCTTCCTAGTCATATACCCATCCAGATACCTTTAAAATGTTGTAATTGTACCAGCCTCCACCACTACTTCTGGTAGCTGATTCCATACAAGCACCACCCTCTTTGTGGAAAAAGTTGCCCTTCAGGTCCCTTTTATATTTTTCGCCTCTCACCTTAAACCCATGCCCTCTAGCTTTGGACATCCCCACCCCAGGGAAAAGACCTTGCCTATTTACCCTATCCATGTCCCTCATGATTTTATAAACCTCTATAAGGTCACCCCCTCATTCTCTAATGCTCCAGGGAAAATAGCCCCAGCCTATTCAGCCTCTCCCTATAGCTCAAACCCTCCAACCCTGGCAACATCCTTGTAAATTCTTTCTGAACCCTTTCAAGTTTCACAACATCTTTCCTCTAGCAGGGAGACCATAACTGAATGCAGTATTCCAAAGTTGCCTAACTAATGTCCTGTACAGCTGCAACATGACCTCCGAGCCGTGTACCTTGACCTATACTCCGTATAGGTACACTCGTACATTCCGTACCATGACCAATAAAGGCAAGCATACTCAATGCATTCTTCACTATCCTACCTACCTGCGACTCCACTTTCAAGGAACTATGAACCTGCACTCCGAGGTCTCTTGGTTCAGCAACACACCCCAGGACCTTACCATTAAGTGTACAAGTCCTGCCCTGATTTGCCTTTCCAAAATATAGCACCTCACATTTATCTAAATTAAACTCCAACTGCCACTCCTTGGCCTATTCACCCATCTGATCAAATCCTGTTGTACTCTGAGGTAACCTTCTTTGCTGTCTGCTACACCTCTAATTTTGGTGTCGTCTGCAAACTTACTAATCATACCTCCCACATTCACATCCAAATCATTTATACAAATGACAAAAGACAGTGGACCAAGCACCGAGCCTTGTGGCACACCGCTGGTCACAGGCCTACAGTCTGAAAAGCAACCCTCCACCACCACCCTCTTTTACTTTCGAGTCAGTTCTGTATCTCCACGGCTATTTCTCCCTGTATTCCATGTGATTTAACCTTGTTAACCATCCTACCATGAGGAACTTTGTCGAATGCCTTACTGAAGTCCAAATAGATCACATGCACCGCTCTGCCTTCATCAATCTTCTTTGTTCCTTCTTCAAAAAACTCAATCAAGTTAGTGAGACTTGATTTCCCATGCACAAAGCCATGTTGACTATCCCTAATCAGTCTTTACCTTTCCAAATACATGTGAATCCCATCCCTCAGGATTCCCTCCAACAGCTTGCCCACCACCGATGTCAGGCATTAAAGTTCTGAAGTTTAACTGTTTGCAACTTTATTTGATATCCCTTTTAGTTTTACTAATTCAAACTGACTTTATAATTATTTGCATTTATAGATAGAGTCCTAGAATGATACTGCACGGAAACAGACTCTTTCGTCCAACTCATCCGTGCTGACCAAGTTTCCCAAACTAAAACTAGTCTCACTTGCCAGCATTTCTTTGTGTTACAATTTTTTTTTACAATCTAAGGTATGAGAAAAATTCTATAAACACTGAACAAATAACTTACAAATCATCAAATCCAAAAGCCATAAATGAATTCCCCATTTCTACAGGATATTTTTGGTTTATATCATAGTTGAAAATGTGTTTAAATATGAGCCTTACAAGAAGCTAAGGATAGTCCTGGACTGTGTATGAATTCTAGTGATATCTCTGGAACTGAATAAGTTTAAAGTTAGCTTGTAGCTTGATAGTGTCTGAGCACATGACTTTATTATTGTGTACTATAAATCAAATAAATCCAGAGTACTAACGTAGACAGAGTCTCAAATTTTTATAGTTCCATTAACTTGATCATGGAAAGTGCTGAAATATGAAAAATAAAAGTAATGTTTATTACACAAAATAGACTTAAAACATTGATAAAGATCATATATACTTAACCGTTTCTCTGACAAATGATTTCTGTAGCAAATCTTACATAAATAATAGCATCTAGGACAATTTAACATCAGCATATCCAAAGTGCCCGTCTTTTTCGATGTTTAACTAATGATGTTTTCCTTGGTTACTAAGGATTGTTGCACAAAGAATGAACTTTGCTATCAGCACTGCATAGATTTGACAAGATTACTTTGTAGTGTCAAAACAAAGTGCAAGTAATTGCATATTTAAATTCAAACCATAATTCCTGAAGACATTTCCTGTGGAATGTATTATGTACAAGAGAGAAAGTAAAACACAAAGGAGAAGCCAGAGAAAGTGAACCAAGGAAGGGATGGAAGAGAAGGGTGACAGGAAGTATGATCAAAAGGCAAACAGATAAACGTATAGCATGAGCAGAACAGTTAAAAAAAAAAAAACTACAGTTCCAGAATAGAGCCAAGAAATCACAAGTCAATGGCCACACACCTTGTGCGCTTATGTGGAGAAATGTTTTCTTTTTCAAATTGGCTCTTCACTACTTGAGTCTTATGAATGAGCTCCATCTTTATTTCAATTTATCAACTTAACTTAAAGCCAAAAGGCCAGTTTATTCTGACAAACTCTAAATTAATTAATTGAACCAGCAGAGTAACAGAACAATACATAAAATGTCATTGTAGTATCTGCCCTGCGTAATGGGATGTGGAATCTACTCCCAGCGGTTAATCTAGTCAGTAATGGGAATGAGGGTTTCAGGGATTATTACAGACACTTGTATTGAGCGACTCCCTGGCAGCTGAACCTAAATCATAGTTTAAATGGGCTGTAGGCATCATAGCTCAGTCAAAATCATCTGCCATGTTATTTGTTACTTTTTTGTTCCAGGAAGGTCAACATTGCTGGCAAGGCCAGCATTTGTTTTTGATCCATGCGAGGGTGATTGTGAGCCTCTTTGAACTGCTGGACTCTCTAATCACTGTTCCTTTATTCTTTCATGGTTTTGGGCGTTGCTGATAAGGCTAACTTTTATAGGCCATCCCAATGTGCCCTTTGCAGGGTAGCGGTGAGCTGTTGCCCTGAACCATTGCAGTCCTCAGGCTTTAGGGACACGCATATTGCCATTAGGGAGAGAGTTCCAGAATTTTGACCTGGTGATACTGATGGAATTTCCAAGTCAGAATGGTGAGTAGCTGGTGGTGTTCCCATGTGTTGCTGCCCTTGTCCTTCTTGATGGTAGTGGTCATGAGTTTAGAAAGTGCAGTCTAAAGAGATTGTGTATTTCTGCAGTTCCAGTACAGCCACAACACTGACATCCACACAACAATATCCCATGAATGAATAAATGAGGTAAAAAGCAGGACAAATCCAAACCCGGAATTATTAATCTATCAGGCTACTTGCAATCATCAGTGAGGTGACGGAAAGATTATTCAACAGTGCTATCAAGTGACACTTGTACAGTAATAGCCTGCTCACACAGCTCCTGACCTCATTACAGCCTTCGTCCAAACATGGATAAAAGAGCTAAATTCCTTAGGTGAGCTGAGAGTCACTGCCTTTGACATCAAGGCTGCATTTGACCGAGTGTGACATCAAGGAGCCCTAGCAAAACTAGAGTTAAAGAAATCAGGAGGAAAACACCACTATTGGGAATCATACCCACCACAAAGGTGGTGATTGGAGGTCAATCCTGGGACACCTGTGGAGGAGTTCCTCAGGTTCATGTCTTAGACCTAAACATCTTCAGCTGCTTCGTCAATGACCTTCCCTCCGTCAGAAAGTCAGAAGTAGGGATGTTCACTGATTATGCAATGTTCCGTACCACTCATGGCTCCTCGGATACTGAAGCAGCTCATGTCCAAATGCAGCAAGACCTGGACAATATCCAGATAAGTGGCGAGTGACATTTGTGCCACGAAAGTTCCAAGCAATGACCATCTTCAACAAGGGAGAATCTAACCAGCTACCCTTGACACTTAAAGGCATTACCAGCATTGACGTCCCCTACTTTCAACATCTTGTGGGTTACCATTGACCAGAAACCATTTTGTACCATCCATAGCATCACTGCGGCTACAAGAGTCGGTCAGAGGTTGGGATCTCCTGCCTCTCAAAAGCCTGTCTCTCACCTCCAAGGCAGAGCCAGGAGTGTGATAGAATACTCCCCACTGGCCTACAAAAGTGCAGCTCCAACAATACTGAAGAGGTTCAGCACCCTCCAGGACAAAGCAGTTTGCTTGATCAGCACCCCACTCACTACCCTTAATATTCACTCCCTCCACCGCTGACCGTTCAAACCAGCAACCAAACCATACATGGAAATGCACATCCCATGTATTAATAAAAAAATCCTGCATTTTTTTCTATTTGTTAATATATTTGGAAAAAGAATAATACATACCTTTGATTTTAATCTAATAGAGTTGGGTGAAGATAATAACATGCTCCAGAACTATCTACAACACTGACATGCACACATCAATATTCCATGAATAAATAAAGTGAGGTAAAAAGGGGACAAATCCAAACCAGGACCATCCCAGACATTTTTGATGGCTGTGGGTTTCTTGTGAACATCAAATGGGTGTTCAAGTGTTTTGGTATAATCCTTGTTAGTCAGTTTTTATAGTATAGGTTAAGGTCTTTGTACTGGGGCAAAGGTTTAATGGTATCAGCCTTCTCAGCAGCTTTTGTTGAATGACTGTTTTGTGTTGACGATGACTGAGCTCCATCTTAATCATTTTTTTCTCCCCAGTATCTGATGGTGAAGTTTCTCTGTCCCCGCCAAGAGGATGAGAACAATGTGCGTATTGGCATCAAACATCTAACTATTCGTGGTTACTTGAGACCATCCAATCAAGAATGTCTCTCTCTCTCTGATACAGCATCAAGCGGTCATGTTACTGGGCAGACCCTTGTGTTGAAGACACTCTACTTTATTCAGCAACTGGCCCAGGACGCAGTATGTTAAAATACATTTTTAAAATTCCTCATAAACTATCATGCAGTGAAGACATGAGGGGAAATGTTTTCATACAGTCAGTGGTTCGGATCTGGAATGCACTGCCTGAGAGTGTGGTAAAGGCGGGTTGTGCTGAGGCATTCTGGGGGAATTGGATTATTATCTGAAAGGAAAAAATGTGCAGGGCTATGGAGAAAAGGCAGAAAAATGGCATTTGTGCTCTGTTCATTCAGAGAACTGACAATGCAGATGAACCAAATGGCCACCTTCTGTACTGTGATAATTCTGTGATGTAAGGATATTGTACTTCCTTCCAATTTTCTCTACTATTCTGATCTTGGACGGGTGATGGTTCCAAGTATCAGCAGCTCTCTGTGTCCTCCAACACTGTGACTTATTTGCATGACAGCCCAGAGGGTGGCTGTCCATTTGTTTGTAATTGATTCTAGCCAGACAGATTTTCTCTTGGAGTCCAAGATTCATGCAGCACAGGAGAAGGTTAATGGGTAGTCTGCCTGTGCTGATTCGTCTGAGGAGCAGTCCACATAAACCCACTGCTGTGCACTTTTGCCCCACAATGTTTTCTTCTTCCACTTCCCTTTTGAAAATTGACTGAAACGTGCCCACTATTTTAAGCTGTGGATTCCGAATCAGAACAACTAGCTGCTGAAGATATTTCTGCTCATCTTACCATCGGTTCTTCAGCTGTTTACTTCAGATCTGTGTCATTGCTGAGCCATCCACCAGCGTTAAATATTTCCATTGATCAAAAATAAGATGATGATTTGAACATCTCTTCAATGGCATCTTAAGTTTGTCTGCTGTATGCAGAATAACCCCAGCTTTTGTAGTTTATCCATGTAGTTGACGCTCTGCATCCTCCTCCTCATTTTAGTAAATCTTCGCTTCACTCTGTTTCAACATCCTTCTTAAATAATGGGATTCAAAAGTGGTCACATTCCTTTAGCTGGACCTAACCAGTAATTCTGAAAGGCATGACATAACTTCCTTGCTTTTGCATTCTGTGCATCTGTTTAGAAAATCGACAATCCACAATTTTTAATAGTCCTCTCAACTTCTGATTTCAAAGGTTTGTGTATGTAAATCGCCAAGCCTGAGCCCCATTTAGAATTGTCATTTAATCTATATTGTCTCTCATTTTTCCTACCAAAATGCATCACCTCTTGTTTTTCTGTGGTAGGTACCATCTGTCATGTCTGCGTATTTCTGTATGTTCCTAAAGTCCGTCACTGCTCTCCACACACTTTACCACTTTTCACTCTGCTTTTTGAAAGTTTCAGGTCAGCTGGAAACTTTTGAAATATACCCTGGATATCAAAATCCATGTCATTAATATGTGTCAAAGTGCAGTGATCCTAATTCTGACACCCTAAAAAACATGGATGTATAATTCCCTTCAGGGCAAAAAGTGACCATTCACTATTGCTGTCTGCTTTCTCTCTCTTAGCCAGTTTCACATCCGTATTACTACTGTCCCTTTTAATGTCATCAGCTTTAGTTCTCCTGACTATCCTATTTTCTACTTTTATCAAGTCAAAATGCACATCCACCTCACTAACTTCTTCAGAGAACCTAGTCAAGTTGCTTGAGGGCGATTTGCTTTCAGCAAATCAATTCTGATTTTTTTTTGTTCATTCGAATAATATTGTAATATCATAACCCCAGCAAGGACTGATGTGAACCTTCTATATAATGAGGCATTTTTGGTTCTGATGGTCTATATTGTGCTGCCCAGTGGCTTCATAGTTAACTGATGTACTTCCTTCACCTGTAGGCAGAAATGAGAGAGCGGAGGGTAAAACAGAAACCTAACCTGGACTATTCAGACCTTAACCTACAGCTCTTCTGGAACTTCTATGAAAAGTTCAGACAAAAGTAAGCCAGCATTTTTTCTTTGGTCTGATTTTATTCCTGTTGCTTGACTTCTCATAGTGCAGAGGGTCAAGTTGAAGTAGAATTTTCAGGTAATATTTTGGGTTCTGCCAGGGCCCCCAGCTCCTGACATAATCACAGCCTGGGTCAAAGGTGCTGAACTCCAGAAGTGAGGTGTGAATGATCGCACTTGACCTCAAAGCAGCCATTGGGAGTCAGGAGCAAGTCTCTACTAGTGGAATCATAGCTGGCATAAAGGAAGATGGTTGTGGTTGTTGGAGGCCCGTCGTGTCAATGCAGGGACAACACTGCTGGAATTTCTCAGGATGGTATCCTAGCCTCAACCATCTTCAGTTGTTTCATCAATGAACTTCCCTCCATCATAAGGTCAGAAGTGGGGCTGATCGCTGATGTTTGCCCAGTATTCAACACCATTCATATCTCCTCAGATCCTGAAGAAGCCCATGTCCATATATAAGAAGACCTGGACCACATCCAGGCTTGGGCTGACAAGTGGCACAGAAATGCCAGGCAATGACTACCTAAACAAGGGACAAGCTGACCATCTTCCCATGTTATTCAATGATATTACCATCATTGAATCTCACACCATCAACACCCTGTGAGTTATCAAAGACTAGAAACTCAACTGGACAGTCGTAATTACGCAATATGGCTACAAGAGCACGTTAGAGCTTGGGAATTCCGTAGTGAGTAACTCTCCTCTGTCCAGAGCCTGCCCACCATCTAAAAAATGCAATTCAAAACTATGATAAAATACTGTATGTGCATAGATCACTACCGTGTGGCGTAACCTATTGGTGCTTAACTGCAATACAGGAATGAGAAGAAACTGCACCTTGCCTAAATAACTGGCAAGTGGAAAGCTGTAACCATATAATTTCACAATGGGTTCACAGCTCAATTATTTTAAGTCATATCCAAAGTATGAATGGAACCAAGTGCCTTGAATGGTAATTCCAAAATATAATTCGGAACTGAGCCGTGTCTAAGAGAGGCAAAGAGGGAATGTGAGATGAGATTGGCAGCTAATATAAATGAAAATCTGTAGACCTAGTAATACTAAAAGTGTGGTAAAATGCGGAACTGGGACTGGTCAGAAACAAAAAGGGGATTTTTGCCTTGAGGATTTGAGCACGGCACAGGTATTAAATGGGGAGGTGATGGCCTAGTAGTATTATCGCTGGACTGTTAATCCAGAGACCCAAGGTGATGTTCTGGGGACCTGGGTTTGAATCCCCCCATGGCAGATGGTGGGATTTGAATTCAATAAATATCTGGAATTAAGAGTCTAATGATGACTGTGAATCCATTGCCGATTGTCGGGGAAAAAACCCATCTGGTTCACTAATGTCCTTTAGGGAAGGAAACTGCCATCCTTACCTGGTCTGGACTACATGTGACTCCAGTCCCACAGCAATGTGGTTGACTCTTAACTGCCCTCTGGGCAATTAGAGATGGGCAATAAATGCTGCCTGGTCAGCGATGGCCCTCATCCCATGAATGAATTTAAAAAAAAATCTACCTGTCTTTGCCAAGGAAGTAGAAGCTACTATTTTCATAGTGAAATAGGATGTTGTTGAGACATTAGGTGGGCTAAAAATTAATTGAGAAGGTTTTAGAAAGGTGGCTGTACTTAAAATTGATGAGTCACGAGGAGGTGCATCCAAGGCTGCTAAGAATTAAGGATGGAAATTCCAAAGGAACTGCCCTTAATTTTTCAATCATTCTTCGATACAAGAGTGTTGCCGGAGGACTAGAGATTTGCAAACACTGCAGGCTTGTTTAAAAGAAGATTGAGACCAAACTGTTTGAATTCTGTGGTATTAAGCTTTAGGAAACAATAAACTGGGACAAAATTAACAGTCTCTTGAACAAATGTGAATTTGTTAAGGACAGTTAGGGTGGATTTGTTACTAGTAAATGGTATTTAACTAAATGGACTGATGTTGATGAAGGAGCAGGGCGTCGATAAATACAATGCGGATGAGGCGTTGTACATGGATTTCCAAAAAGAATTTGATAAAAAGTGACATAATAGGCTTGTCAATGAACTTAAAATCCATGCAATAAAAGGGACGGACAGAATAGATGTTAAGTTTAATTTGGATAAACGTGAACTGTTGAATTTTGGAAAGGCAAATCAGGGCAGGACTTATGCAGGGAGTGTTGCTGAACAAAGAGTCCTTGGGGTGCAGGTGTATTATTCCTTGAAAGTGGAGTCGCAGGTAGAATGAATGGTGAGAAAGCATTTGGAATGCTTGCCTTTATTGGTCAGTGCATTGAGTACTGGTGTTAGGAGGTCATGTTGCAGTTGTACAAGGCATTGTTTGGGCCGCTTTTGGAATACTGCATTTAATTCTGGTTTCCCTGCTATAGGAAAGATGGTGTTAAACGTGAAAAGATGCAGAAAAGGTTTACAAGGATATTGCAAGGTTGGAGAGTTTGAGCTGTAGGGAGAGGCTGAATAGGCTGGGGCTATTTTCCCTGGAGCATCAGAGGCTGAGGGGTGACCTTTATAGAGGTTTATAAAATCATGAGGGGCATGGATAGAGTGAATAACCAGGGTGTTTTTCCCAGGGTAGGGGAATCCAAAACTAGAGCGCATAGATTTAAGGTGAGAGGGAAAAATGTATAGGTTGGCATGGAAGAATTGGACCAAAGGGTCTCTTTCCATGCTGTACATCTCTCTGACTCTTACATTGACTGAATAACAAGAAACAACGTGCTGGTAAGTTTAGTTAATTATTTTGTAGGAATTGGGGTCCTCCAGAGATTGGTACTGAGACCTTTGTTTTTCTTAATCTAATTTTCTTAGCTTATAAAAATGACTCTGATGTCAAGGGAAATACTTCAAAATTTGCAGGACACACAGTATTTCAAAGCATTGAGTTGTAAAGAAAATGAAGTGAAAAACTTGAAAAGGGCATAGACAATCTGGTAAAGTGATGTGTGGCAGGTAAAAATTTAATGCAGAGAAGTGTAGTCCATCATTTTGGAAGGTTTTAACAAGGAGAGGCAATATAAAACAAAAATTGTGAAAGATGTGCTGGAATTACATGTGCATAAATTACTGATGTGGCAGGACAGGTAGTGAAATTGGTCAATAAAGCATGTGGGATCCTGGGCTTTTTAAATAGAAGCATAGTGTACAGAAGCATGGAAGTTATGGCCAACTTGTATAAAATTTGGCGCAGCCTCAACTGGAGAATTGTGCCCAATTGTGGGCGGCACATATTTGGAAGGATTTGAAGTCATTAGAGAAGGTGCAGAAAAGAGGGGTTCCAGCAAGAAATAAAGAAATTCAATTAGATTGAAAAATCTGGTGCTATTCGCCTTGAGAAGTGAAAGCTCTGGAGACTCCATCATGAGGGGTCTTGTTAGAGAATCTATTTCCATGGTGTAAGGGTGAAGAACCAGAGGATGTTGATTTATGTGATTGACAAAGGAACCAAAGGATCATGAGGGATTCATAGAGAAGTGGTGATGTATTGGAATGTCACTGGAGCAGTCATCCAGAGACCCAGGGTAATGCACTAGCGACATGGATTCAAATCCTACCTAGGCAACTGGCAGAACTTAAATTCAGTTAATAGAAAAATTTGAATTTGAAATCTAGCCTCAATTATGGTGACTATGAAGCTATCATCAATGGTCATTTTAAGAAAGAAATCTATTTCAATCGCAAATGTCTGTTAGGGAAGGTAATCTGACGTTAACTGGTCAAGAGATTAGGCTGTCATTCATTATAATTTAGAATGGCTAAACAAATTAGGCTTTCATGCATCGTAATTTAGAAGAATGAGGAGTGATCTTATTGAAACAGACAAGATTCTGAAGGGAACAAAACCAAAAGGACTAAATCAGAAACAAAAACAGAAGTTCCTGGAAAAGCTCAGCCGGTCTGGCAGCGTCTGTGAAGAGAAATCAGAGTTAATATTTCAGGTTCTGAGGAGGGTCTCCAAACCCGAAACGTTGACTCTGGTTTTTCTTCACAGTGCTGCCAGACCTGCTGAGCTTTTCCAGCAAGATTCTGAAGGGGCTGGCTTGGGTGAATATTGAGATGATATATGCACTAGTGGGGAAACTTGAACTAGGGGCCATAGTGGGACACTCAGTTAGAAATGAGATGTACAGGAGCAGGGATGTCTTGCTGTGGTTGTACAATTGGTGAGACCATAACTGGGATATTGTGTGCAGTTTTAGTCACCTTATCTGAGGAAGGATGTCCTGGCTATGAAGGGAGTACAACAGAAGTTTACCAGATGGATTCCTGGAATAGTAGGACTGACATATGAAGAGACATTGGTTCAGTTAGGACTGTATTCCCTGGAGTTTAGAAGAATGAGGGGGATATCTCATTGAAACCTATAATATTCTAAGAGTATGCGGTGGCTCAGTGGTTAGCACTACTGCCTCACAGCACCAGGGACCTGGGTTCAATTCCGCCCTCGGGTGACTGTCTGTGTGGAGTTTGCATATTCTCCCTGTGCCTGTGTGGGTTCCTCCAGGTGCTCCAGTATCCTCCCACAGTCCAAACATGTGCAGGCTAGGTGGTTTGGCCATGGTAAATTGCCCGTAGTATTCAGGGATGTGCAGATTAGGTGAGTTATAGGTGGATGGGTCTGGGTGGGATGCTCTGAGGGTCGGTGTGGACTTGTTGGGCCAAAGGTCCTGTTTCCACACTGTAGAGATTCTATCCTGATCTATGACAAGACAGGATAAACCCACAAAGGATGTGCCCAATGACTGAGGAATCCAGAACCAGGGGTGACAGCCTAAAGGCATAGGGTAGGCCATTCATGACTGAGCTGGGGAGAAATTTCTGCACCCAGCAAGGGGTGAGCCTGTAGAATTCTCCGCTATAGATAGCGGTTGAGGTTGAAACGTTGAATATTTTCAAGACGGAGTTAGGTATTGTTATTAGAGCTAAAGGGATCAAAGTGTACGTAGATAAAGTGGGAACAAGATGATCAGTTGTGATTATTTTGAATGGCGGAGAAGGCTCAAAGGGCCAAGTGGCTGACTTTTGCTTCTACTTTTCATATGTTTTGATGTTTTCCTCTAGCCCAGCAGTTATTTTCTCCTTGAGATAATTACTGGTTATTTCACTTCTAAAAAATACAGTTGAATCTCCCTCCACAACACTCATGCAGTGTATTCGAATCCTAACCATTCTCTGTATTAAAAAAACCCTTTTATTTAAAAAAAATCTTTGGGATGTAGGTATTGTTGAAAAACATTAGCATTTGTTGCCCATCCCTAATTGCTTTTGAACCAAAAGGTTTGCCTGGCCGTTCTGTGGGTTTAGAGTCACATGGAGGCCAGATATAAAGAGTAGGAGTATGCCATTCAGCTCCTCAAGCATGTCCTGCTGTTCGATAAGATCATGGTTGATCTATTAATGGCCTCAATTCCCTTTTCGCACCATTTGTTTTCATATCAAGTCATCGATATTTCAAAATACTCTACCTCCCCATTTAAATACTTTATGATCTGGTCTCCACAGCTCTGAGGGGGAGAGAATTCCAGATTTTTACTCCAGAGAAACCGGGAGAATAGGAACGAATAGGCCATTTGGTGCTTTGAACCGGCTCCGCCATTGTGTTGCTATTGTTTCAACACCTTGGCCAGGTTGTTGGGCCCCTGCTTCAATGTGGCTAATAGCAACAATGCAATGAAACTTTTCTGAGGAACAGAAGTTAGCCTACACACCAATTTATGCAAACTATATAAACCACAGTTAAAAGAGGTTTGCATCTTGTAGTTTTTCAGCACATCTGGCAAGTTGTTTGAATGAAATTAGTGTGACAGAGTCATATTTGCAAGGAAAATCTGTTTTGTAATAAATGCTGTTGAGAGCAGTGTTTTGATGAGCATTGGTTGAATTGTTAGGTTGGAATGAGATCCTGGCTTTGCACATTGAAAATGTGCATATTTTTGGACCTAAATCTCCCACCCAACCAAACTATTTGAAATTGAGACTGAACAGGCTAGAATATTTCCTTTAGAAAGGGTGACCTGATAGAAGTCTTTAACATTATAGAAAGAGTGATTGTAATGTGGAACTCATTCCCACAAGGAGTATTTAAAGCAAGTTGCATAGATTTATTAAATGAGAAGCTGTATAAAAAGGAGGGAGAAGCATAGAAGAATTGATTGTTTGCGAGGAGCTCAAACAGCTGCGTGGAATGGTTACTTTCTTTGTATTATATTAAACAGCAACATCTTAGATTTATACAAGTGTTTTCTCTTTGAAGTGAGCTCCATTTAATTTCATTTTAGTGTGGTTTGTAGACAATTTACCTGGAAGCATGATTTGAATGCGATTTTTGTGTGTATGCAAAGAACAGACTTGTTACTGCTGCTGCATGATCTTTTTTGTAAACAGTTTTGCTTGCTCACTCCTGCTCTCTTCCATCCTTCCTGCTTCTCTGTCTCACTAACCACCCCTCCACCAACTCCACTCCATCCCACTCGCTCCTTCCAGCTTCCAGCACCTCCCACTCAGTGGCCCTCTCACACTTTCTTCTCCCAACCCTCTTGTTTTCCCAGTCAGTCACAATGGGAGAATCGGGGACAGAGGTAGCAAACCGAGTGAGCAGTCAGGTTGGATGAGGAATGTGGCAAGTGAGAGTGAAAGAGATGGTAGGAAGTAGGGAGTGGGAGTGAGAGAGATGGTGGGAAGGAGGAAGCAGGGAGTGGGAGTGTGAGAGATG